ATATATATATATATATATATATATATTATGCACGGGATTTTTGTTATTTTCGCTTATATTTGGTTGTCATTAAGTGTATTCGGTTCAGGACGAATAAAAAATGAATTAGTCAACCAACCAATCAAATACGAATCATGTTAACCAAGTAATAATTAATCAAAACAAATGGAAGCCGACTTAGTTCAATACAGCTGATGTCATTTCGGAACCGGATCTTAAGATAATATTTTAATTTTTTTTTTTGAATTATATGAAAATTGTTAGGTATATATACCTGCAACGGCTCTTGAAAAAAAAGAATGGATAATCTTCTCTCCTAGTAGAATCCTCAATTGATGAACCCTTTGGCAAACATAAATGATCAAACTCAATTTCAAATAAGCCCAAATTAAATATTTAAAACATAATTAAAATTTTATCATACTTATTGGATGTCTAAATAATCTTCAAATCTTGGATGTTTATCAACCCCAATGTAAAATTCTCTATATCTTAAATTATTAAAGTAATCAAATATTAAGAATGCGAGATAATCAAGAGAAATTTATCTATAAATATACTCGATCTCTATTTGTAGGAGGCTAAAAAGAATAATATGGAGAGAGCGTGTAAGTTTGGAGAATTCTAAAGCTTTCTCTACCATCACAAACCATGGTAGAGAAATTTATCTATAAATATCCATTGTCATTGCCTGACAGTCGTTGTTGAATAATCATCTTTTGATCACTACCATCACATAACATGCCGACATTGAACTTCTATCATTTTATTACCAACGTCCAACCATCGAATTAACCGGTCAGATAATTGTTATTGAACTATTGACACCCTACCACAAACTTCATATCATTTTTACTTCATCGCCGCCGTCAAATCATTGTCATCCAACCATCATCGTCGAACATTTACCTTCATTTGATAGTCATCGCTCGATCATCATTCTTGGACGATATCATCAAATTGTTATCATATCACAATTGACGATCATTGTTGCTGTCAAATTGTTGCCATCATTATATTAATTACATTAGTTTACGATTGCCTTATCATCATCGCCTGACTATGATATCCTGATCAACATTTAACGATTATGGCCACCTAATTATGGTCATCGAAACACTCCCACTTGACTATGATTACTTAATTACAATCACTTAAAACATTGTCGATTGACTAAAGTCATCTAGTTATGATATTTCAATCATCATCACCCCACTAGGCTCTAAAAGCACCATAGATCAATCACAATCATTTGTTTAAGACTACAAAATCATCATCATCAGTTTATAGTCGCCCAACACTCGTCACTAGATCATAATATTCGAACCATTATCTCATGTTTATGATATCTCAATCACTGTCGCCCAATTATGACCTCCATACAATTGTTGTATAATTAAAATCACATTGCATATATGATTGTGCTCTTTCTGCAATCATCACCTAAATATAATCTCCTAATCACTACACCCAACTATATCGATGCACATCATTGTTGTAAGCTATCTTTTATAAGGTTGGTGCATACCATTAACACAATATCGGTGCTCATTGTCTTTTTCATTTGGTATTTCCAACAAAAATGACGCACACCAACATTTATAAGATTAGTAGATATTGCCGGCATCAACTCTAAGTATTGATGTCAAATCCAATATTTTTGTTAGACTTGATGATTTTTTAATTTGATCTCCTGTAAAGAGAATGATCAAACATATCTCAAACAATCTCTTAAGGATAAGTTCAATGCTTTAAGATTATTCAACTTTCTTCATAAATTTATCAACTATAATTTATGTCTATAATATTATAAAAATATATTTCTTAATTGTGGAAAAAGGCATAAATGTTGACTTCCACGTGTAATAATAAAATCATTTCAAACGAGTTAGACCTTATGGATTGTTATCTTTTATGATTTTCTACATGAAATCATTATTTCTTTTGTAACTATTTTTTTATCTATGTGTGAATTCGATCTTCAAACAAAAATAAGTTGTGAATATTTAATCAAAATAATATATTATGATACCAATACATGACATTGTTTACTTCTGAGAAATAAATATTTTAGCATAAAAATAATAATTTATTATTATTATTTTATAGCACCTGAATTGACCATGAAATTCTGAATTCATTGTGGCTTTTATAAGAATTCAATACATAAGTCATTTATGGTGTTGGATTAATCTTGAGATGGTAAACATTTTGACAAAAAAATCATAACTTGTCATTGCCTCTCTTTTATTGATTCAAAATTTGGTCTAGGAATATTGGTGAAATTATTTAGTAAATCCAATCATTAGAATTTTGATTTATAAAATTCATTGGACTTGTAATTTTGATGGCTTTGAATAGTATGCTTGTTCATCGATTAGAGACAACGTTAGTTGTTGCTGACATTGGGTTATTAACAACAAGTTTTGGCCAGTTGCCTAGTCCCACCTCTGAAGGCGTCTTCATATATGAAATGGTTGGTAGCTATAATAATATAAGTTGGCTAAAGAGGCCATTGTATTAAAATTTTATAATAATAGCAATTGACCACATACGTCATAGTGGAAGGCTACATTGATAGTAGTTCACCACATAGGCCATAATGAAATATTGTAATGATAGCAGTTCATGACATAGGTTGTTGTGTTGGAGCCCGATTTCTTCTGTTTCCGCAAAGACGCTGGTCCGATTTCCCGCTCCAGCCTCCCGATTGCGAACCCGCGAATCATCGATTCTACTCCCGACTCCCACAAAAGGTCGCAACCGCGACCATGCGGTTTCACGAACTACTCCCGCCTCCAGGTTAGCGAAACAAAGCCTTTCTTCACCCGCGAAGGTTCATTTAAGTTGCCAACATAAGAGGAAGAATAGGGAATACACACTGCTCTCCTTAAAATTTTGCACATCATTTTGTGTTCTTCTTGAGTAGTTTCTGCTTCCATGGGATAGAGGAAGAGAAGCGCAAGGTTTAGTTCCTTGCGGTGAAGGAAGAAGAAAGAAGAAGAAGAAGATTGTTTTCCCTTGGCTTCTTCTTGGTGGCTTGTAGCAGAAGAGAAATTGGGTTTATCTCTCTTGTAAGTTTATCTTCTTCGATGTATCTCGGTGTAGAGTTTCTTCGGTGTATCTCGGTGTAGAGAGAGAAGAACAGAGAGAGAAGAAGAAAAAGCAACGAAGTGAGAGATTCCTCTTGTAACTCGAGACGATCGACTGGTGTAAATTCCTCAAGTAGTAAAATCTTCTGTAACTCCATGGGCTTAGGCAATTTGTCGGACCACGTAAATCTATATCTTCTGCTGTGTTACTGTTTTATGGTGTGAATTTTTCGTTGTTCTATTTTTTGTTTTGTCGATCGTTCTCCTATTTTATTTGTATATATATACCACAACAACTGGTGTATATCTCACAACAACTGGTATCCTGGTATCAGACGGATCTGAGGAAGAATGATGGCTGCAGATGAATTGGAGTTTTTAGGAATTGAGAAGTTCGATGACACAGATTTTGGTTACTAGAGGATGCAGATAGAGGACTATCTCTATGATAAGAAATTTCATCTTCCGTTATTGGAGAAAATACCTGAAAGGATGGATGACGCTGAATGAAATTTATTGGATCAACAAGTTCTGGGGGTTATTCGATTGACCCTATCAAGGTTCGTTGCACACATCGTCGTCAAGGAGAGGACGAATGTAGATCTTATGGCAGCCTTATCAGGTATGTATGAAATGTCATCGACGAATAATAAGGTGTACTTGTTGAAGAAGTTATTCAATTTGAAAATGGTGGAAGGTATTTCTGTTGCTCAACACATGAATAATTTCAATACTATCACAAATTAATTATCGTCTGTTGAAATTGATTTTGATAATGAGATACGTGCATTGATATTGTTGGCATTGTTGCCAAATAGTTGGGAAGTCATGAGGATGACAGTCAGCAGTTCTGTAGGTAAATCTAAACTGAAATTTGATGACATTTGTGATTTAATTTTGGTTAAGGAAGTGTACAGAAAAGATTCTGGCAAGATCTTAGGTACTAGTTCAGCACTGAATGTTGATTTCAGAGGTAGATGACAAGACATGAACTCAAATAGAGGGAGATCAAAATCAAAGTTTGGTCAGCAGACAACCTGCTGGAATTGTGACAAGGTCGGCCACAAAGAGGAACTGCAGGAATCCCAAGAATATGGGAAATGATAGCGCAAATGTTGTATCTGAAGTATAAAATGCACTATTCCTGACAGTTCATAGTTCTGTTGATGATGAAAGTGAAGAGGAGAGTGGGTCTGGGGCACCCATTCCTACTGTTCCACGGACAGATAGCGGAGAACCACATGGTTATGAAGAAATTTTGCGAAATGAAAGTTCGAGCAAGTGAGAGCTAACAGAACTTTCACTAGGGAAGAAAGTATTACACAACAAGTGGGTGTACTAGGTGAAGATTGAGCTTGGTGGTAGTAAGAGGTACAAGACTAGACTTGTTGGAAAAAGACTTTCAGCAGAGACAGGATATTACCCATGTAATGGGAGCTGTAAGCAGAAATAAGAGTAATCTAAGAGATAGCTTGGAGGTGCAAGGTTATTTGGACCCTGTTGATATGTTGACTGAGGGTGTTACTCTTGAGAAACTGAAGTTGTGCACAGCTTGATTTGGTCTTCTGTAGTGAAGATATAGGATTTGAGTTGTAGAGGTGGAGGATTCATGTTTGAAGAAATGGGCTACACTGTCAGTGGAGGATATCGGTTTGAGGAAGAAGACGTTGTGGCAGGTGTATCAGTCTCTAGGTCAGAGATTTTTTGTGTTGGAGCCCAATTTTTTTTTGTTCCCGCAAAGATGCATGTCTGATTTCTTGCTCCCACCTCTTGATCACAAAACCTGCAAACCGCTGATCCCACTCCCGACTCCCGCGAA